CTAGACAGATAAACCGTCTTCGCTCAGAATCGTTTTTCGTATACAATGATATATAATATCATTGGATTCAAATTTAATTCCATCAATTACAGTAACTCACTTGTAACCTATTGTACAGCAGAGCGACATACACGACTTATCCTCCTTTTTTTTTTGGCTTTGATATGCAATTAAGTTTTTTAAAATACCAGCCCCCTCTAAAATAATGGAGAATTTCCGCCTATGGGCTACTTATATCTACCCTGAGTGTAAGGCCGTAAGGGTTCTGGTATAGGCAATGTTAACTAAAATTTAAGAACAATAATTCATTATTTTTGTTTTGGTATACGGTTAAAATATACTATTTCGACATAACATAAAATTATGCAATTAGTATTCTCGTGTCTGTGAAGTTACGAAAGTAATTTTTTTCTCCAAACGTAGAAATTTTTCTATTGTGTGGAAAATGGAGATTCTCTTTTATAAATACCCAAGTCTATAACTATAAGACTACAAACTAGAAAAATAACTATGGAACACGCTCGATAGCACTTATATTATAAGTATTACTATATTATATTATTATTTATACACTTTTTACAGTCATAGAATACCAACCAAGATTATGTTCCAGCCTATAGGTCACTCAAAAAAAAAAAATGTTTAATATGAAAAAAGTATTTGTATGCGAAAAAGAAGGCAGGTGAATCAGCATTTATTTCTAAGGAAATAATAGACCTAGGTAGTATATTAATTAATTTTATATTTTATCATTAATATTTTTTAAATTTGATACGTTTGATAAATAAAGATATGACAAGACATCTTCATAACTTACTTACTAAGTTATAAGCTAGTATCAAAATGTATGTAGGTAGTAGGTACCAACGTAGAAATATTAAAAATAGCTTGAAATTAGTCTTGATATTTTAAAATGTCCTTGTGGTATGTGCTATGTGCATACTGTACTTATATATTACTAATGCCTATAATGATAAAATAAATTACTTTAATAACATTTTAAATATAGGTGTACTTGTGTAATAACAAGGCATCGATTAGGTGGTGCACAAGTGGCTAAGACTCAACTTCTCATTTTTTAAACTAAGATTTAACCATCCCCCGTAAAATTCAATCCAATTCCTACCTGATAGTAAATAATAATATAAGCTGTTGGRTTCTTCGTTCAAAAGTTAGAATAGACTACAAAGATTCCCATTACAGCAACGCGTCACTCACTTCTTCACTTTTTTAAATTACATCTAAATAACTAAAAATTTTAATTTTTCTACTTAAAAACCAGTGTTAAGRTTTAAACTTCAAATACTTATAAATAAATGAGCATAATATTTTTAATATTTTCAAATTGGTTTTCTACTTTAGTATCTATTTTGGTGAGACAGTGAATCTATTTGGTACTTTCAAGAGATCAAAATTGTTAACCCCCCGTAATTCTCAAGCGCCGTGGAAAGCGACCAAAAGCATAACATTCCCTAAAAATGCAAAATAAAAATTGTACCATTAAATTCAATACCCATGAATCAATTTCTGTATAAACGTGCATTGAATGTGATCATTAGAGAAAAAAGATACAAATAGGTACATAAAGTTCCGGGTTCTAGATATAAATATATATTTTTTTAATTACCGTAGATTGAAAATGTTCTCTTTATCAAAAAAACATTTAATTCAAAATTTTCATGTTTTTACCTTAAAAAAAAAAAAATTAACCGGGAAGTCAAATAAACTTTTTAAGGCAGTTTGAAGTTCAAATTGCTTTAACATTCAGTGGTAATTCGAAAACAAGTAACCGTAAACAKATGACATTTTTATCAAATACCATTTATACTATATATTGCTTTTTCTACACATGAATACATTTAAATTTTAAAAATAATTACTCTTAAGCCATTTATACATATTTCCAATAAAATTTAAAATTTTCCCTATAAATATCGATGAAAAATACTTATTAGTAGTTACTAGTGCTACTAATGAGTACTGAGTTCGGTTGCTTGTGACTATAAACAAGTCTATCAAAAAGGTCATCCCCGTAAACTTTATATCGTAAGTATTTTTCAGATAATGCACAAAGACGATCATGTACAATTAAACTGACACTTCGATGTTACTGTTTTATACCGATTTKAAGTATCATAAGTGATAGGTGTATGCTAACCGTTTGTTTAACACAGGGTGCTTCAGCCCGCGGTTATTAATTTAAAAAAAAAAAGTTGGAGATAGCGCGGAGAGAGTACTAATCTACGCGTTTTCTATAATATGATAACTTGTGTATACAATTATATTATAATAATATTTTATTTGTTATAAAATAAAATATGAATACATTTTTATGTTTGGCGACTCTCTTAATGATGCTTAATGCGTAAATTGGCCTGCTAACTACAAAAGATCAGACATTCTGCTTGAAAACAAGAAGAAAAAAACAACACTTTAGAAATTCATTTTAAGTCTAACATAAACAACAGGTTAGGTTACCACTGTCGCATATATTTTAGGGCATAACAATAAGACTGAAAAATAACATTGTATAGGAGATAGGTCACATTAAAAAACATAGAAAGGTTCTTTAATTTTTCAAATTTATTAATTATTTAACACGTTAACCAACCAAGATCTACTAGATCTCACTTGTCCAAACCGCCAAGGATTTTTTCATAGGTTAACTTAAAATATAATCTTTAAGCATTTGTTGCGAGCGTGTATGAGRGGAGGAGGTAATCTTTAGAATTCTGTTTCATGTATAGGCACTATTATCACCGCTCTTTATACTATACCTTACATTATACAGTACTATAATTATATGCGTAAAGCATCATATTCAATTGTGTATATTAGTCGCATTATAATATAAGAAATATGATATCAAAATCAAACATATCATATGCACAACTATTTTACGCTACAACGTTTAGATAAGAATATAGGCGAAACATGATTTACGCACATGTCGACGAAGGGGGACGCCTGTGTCAAAAATAAAAAAATAAAAAATATACGTACCGTTCTGCTTCGTGACTACAGTTATTTTCTAACTGTTGGGCATCGTCATTCGCAGTGATTATTTGAGTATGGCACGATATATATTACATTAATTTGTGATGCGCGTAGACATCAAAATAAATATATAATACAACTATTTTTATGTCCTTTTTTGTAAATTAAGTACGTAGATTCTTTGACGACCCTCCACCCTTGATGATTATCATTTATACTTAGAATTATTTTATTATTGTTATCATCACCATTTTTCTTTTTAAAATRCCAAGGATGGATAYAACATATTACAAACCATAATAGAATATTATTAATTATAATATTTCATGGTCCCATCATTTGTATTATAATAACAGTATGTTAAGTGTATGTTTTCTTTTTCAAACAGTTTTGAGAAAATATTAATACTTTCTGTTTAACATAAATCATTAGTACCTATACTACAGCTTCAAATCTGTAATAATTCTTACACACAGCTTCAAATCTGTAATAATTCTTACACACAGCTAGGTAGTAGGTACCACACTACATTTTTGGCCACATAAGGAACAATATAATAGAACATAATAAATATGTATCTAARCCAAATATACCAAAGGCGTAACCAAATATAACCACAAATTTATTTTTTATGTTAGTTAAAATATATTTATGTTTATTAAAATTAAAAAATGGTAAAAATAACAAGATTTAAATGGAATGCTAGCACTCTGATTATATGTACTATGAGTACACATTGAAATGTTGAAGTATTATTTCTTATTATGCATAATACTCATGAAGTCTATAACTATGTTGACAAACAAGCATATTATTATCATCATCCTCTTAAATTGTTAAAATTTGAGACATCTTAAAATAATGTAAAATAAATTTGATTTTTTTATTAATTTAAAATTATTATTTCTTATTTTTACCTGAGATTAAATTTTATATTTTGTGCATTTCTAAATAATTCATACAACAAAAATTATTTCCACTTTCCAACAATTCAGAATAGAAAATAAGATTAATAGTTTAAGTAACAGTGACTATATAATACAKTTTAAAATCATAATTTCTTTTTTCCTAAGGGTTATTAATAATTTATTTAATACTTTAAAAAATGGCACCTATGTTTAGTTTAATTAATTAATTTAGAAGTGGATTAGATTCCAACTCGCGTGACATGTGATTTTCTTGAGTACTTCAATAGAAATATTATTTTGATTGGAATTGGAATTGAAATAAAAGAAAATTCTATCAAATAATAGTTAACTCTACTCGAAAATTTCAATAAAATGCCCAATGCTTTTCTATGAAAATACACTTTTAATCAAAATGTTTAAATTATTATTAGATATCAATAACCAAAATAAGAAAGTTACAGGTAGAAATTTAAACTAATAATTTATATCATAAGGTAATTTATTTAAATAAAAACTATTTAGGGTAAACATACCAAATATCAAATATTTTGAAATTTACACTTACCATCTTCCAAAATTATATTGGAGAAGTTTGCCATATATAATTAATAATTTTAAATAATGAACTATTATATAATTTATGGAAAATAATGATACAAGAAAAATCCATGTTTTCAATAAATTAAAAATAAAATTAGAATACAAATTATATAATCATGACTGTTAAAAAATTATTAGTTATTATTCATTAATTTGTGATTAAAATTAAGTTATATATGGTTTGTAATTTATATTACGATCATAAGAATAAACATATTTTATAAAAAATATTGCGAAATTCTTTCTATGTTAGAGTCCATATAGTTGATACAACTTTGCTAAGCTTATAAATTCCATAACAATATGCTTTTGATCTGGAATCAGTTTTGTGGTGCTGGATGTTATTGGTTCTTAATTGGACACAGAATATATATTCTGTTTAAAACAAGGTAAAAAGTCACGAGGATAAAATGTTATACTATAATTTATGAATYTGGAAATATACAAATTAAAGAAGACCTGATGGCCTAGTAAATTATTCATTATAACAGGGAAAAATATATTGGAAATTAAAAATACTGACAACCCATTATAAGCTGTTTAAATAAATGCTAACCAATTTCGGATTTAGCAATGGATATAACATTGATTTTAGTAAATACATTTATAAAATAATAATAATAAAAATAAATTAAGAACAACAGAAATGGATTGATTAAAATAAAAAGTCTATTGACTAATTATACCCGAGTGTTAAATCCGAATCTTGATTGCTCACAAAGACAAGAAAAAAAAAGATATACTCATCCTACTATACAACTCAAAATTATTCGTAATCTATACTTACACATTTCGTTATAATAATTATAATTTTTACAACATGATCTCTAATTTATGTGTAAAGTACAAATTAATTACTTCCAAATTTAAAATATAAATATTTTAAAATTGTAATATTTGCCAATGATTTTCATTTTTTTTTTTTTTTACTTAAATTATAAACAACAGGAAAAATGATTACAATCATGTTAAAAACTACATGTATATATATATTTTTTTTCAAAGACGTTAGATTAGAATGTAAATATTTTATATGTAATTATTCTATAAAATTATGTTAGGAATACAGATGTAAAATATTTCCTCCAATAATATGTCGAAAAAAAAATGCCACATAGCATTTAAAAAACAATTGTATAATATAAATAACTGAAATAATTTTTGATTTTTTTTCTTTTAAAGATATTTATTAATCCTGTCCGTTTACTTGAAAGTATAAATAAAAAATAATAAAAATGCCAGCGTAAAAAAAGAACAAAAATACAGTTTAACTTTTGCTCTTAATTAGTTTTCTTACATTATMATTAAAATTGTATTACTTAGATAAGACTTGGCGATATATATATATTTATATTAATATGTATAATTATATAAATATTTATTATTTAATCATACCGTAAAGAAGGTGATACCAGACACAGTTGGTGTTGTTAGCTTATAAGAAATAATCTGGTGTCCTACGGGTGACATGTGGTTCGCCGCGTCGTGGTGCTGGATCGAATTGCAAACTGAAAACAGTGAATGAATTATAAAAAATGCTGCATTTATATTGTTTTCCTAATTTTTAAATATTAATAGTATACTCACAATGAGTATTTTAAGCCGTCGTCTAGTTCCATAATAGCTGCTTGGTTACCACATCGATAACAATAATTAGGGGCCGAAAATATTGTCACTACATTACGATCATGACACCTAYCAACAAGATATTTYAGTTAATACCCATAATTGTTCATAATATATGCATGTTATACATACCAATTATAACCTTCCATCACAAGTTGATGAGCTCTGGAAACAAGTGTCAGACCATTCGAATGATTGAATGTTTCTGAAATATCTTGACCGAATGTATAACCGGCCCCTCTAGGTGATATACCCCAACCAATACGATCATCAGGGTCTGACCATAATAGATCACACATAGGACCCTAAACATAAAGTAAATAGATAAAAATCATAGTTCMTAGAAATCAATTAAATATATTACTTCATGTGGAACTTCTTGCATACGATCTAATGCTCTAATATGATCTAGTGTGTCAATGGATGGAGACAGCCCACCATGAAGACAGAAAATCTGTTCGTCAACAAGTGCAGTCAATGGGAGATAGTCAAACAGGTCAGTAAAAAACTTCCATACGTTCGCATTACCATACTTTCGTAAGCATTCGTCATAGAAGCCATACACTTGTGTAATCTGTCGACTTTCATGATTACCTCTAAGAATTGTTATTCTTTCACGGTATCGTACCTTAATATACATAATAAAAAAGAATAAACTTCATTGAAAAAAATATTATTGATAATTTAACTCACCTTTAATGCAACCAATAATGTAACAGTTTCAACAGAATAGTAACCACGATCAACATAATCTCCCATGAACAGGTAATTTGTATCTGGGGACTTTCCACCTATTCGAAACAGTTCCATTAGATCGTGGAACTGTCCATGAACATCCCCGCATACTGTCACTGGACATTTTACTTCTTGTACATTAGACTCTTTAGTCAAAATTTCTTTTGCCTAGAATAAATTTCAATGTCTCAATGGTAATAATATTATAGTTAGTTGAAAAAATTATTAAATAAATAAATATTATGAAAGGAGAGATATGATGTTTCCGGTTATGCTATTTATAATGATTGCTCTTGGATTGTATTCAAATCTTTGTTATTATTCATAACTAGTATAAGAAAAAGTGGCTATTTTTATAAGGGGTAAATAAAAATACAGCCACCTCACAAACTATATTTAGTATGAAAGAATTAACTTTTAATAAAAATTACATAATATAAATCAAAAAAACAAATACAACCTCAAAATAATGTACTCATAAATAAAAAAAAAAGCTGAATCTATTGTAAACATATTTTCCACGAGATACAAAATGTCAATTATTGAAAGATTTACATAAATAAAAGAGCCTATTTATAATATCAGGATTTATATGCTCGAGTATTATAATATATATTTATTACACATCATAATTAAGAAATCTACCATACCTATATAAAACATTAAATATAACAAATACATTAATAGATTTTATTGATCAACATTAGTTTATTTCAATGAGCATAATTTTTCAATTAATCAATTTCAAAATAATAAAATAAAATGTATGGTTCTTTAAAAATTTTAGACATAGAACATAGATTAACATGATTAAAAATGAAAAATATTCTGTTTTCAAAAATCAATAATACCTAAATGAAAATTACAATATTAAAATAACTGAATGGAACGAACTACAGAAATATACTTATAAGTATAAATAATTTTAAAACTTTTATTTATGTTATTTAACAGTTATTTTAATAGTAATTTAAATATGTGCATTATATTGTATATAGTTTAAAAGAAGAAAGACAAAATATTGCCTTGAGATGAATGGTACACAGATGTAATTTAGCTCTATTGATTGAATCTGTGTTCAATAAGAATACCTATTAATGAAGAATAATTTTCAACTAT